GCTTGGAAGCGCGCCGACTTCCGAATTGCAAGCTCTTCTGAGCCCCTACAAGAGTGCTGCCTGTTGGCGAGAGAGTCCACTATTGAGAAGCTTCGAAGTAAAGGATTCTGAGCTATGGCTGCAAATGGGCCCAGTAAGTGCCGTGTGTGGGGAGCTGTGTCTACCCTCCCTAGAGAGAGATCCTGCAACCTGGACCTGGACACTCCACCTCAGGCGAAAGCACGCTAGTCAATAAACAGAAGTCTGCAAAGCTCCGGAGTTCAGTTCAGGAACAACCGACCCGACCGACAGACAAAACAGTTTCGAAAACATGCGAATGGTTTCGAAATGCGCTCATCTCACACAATTCAGAGTCCCAACTAGAGAGACTGAGGCCATTTTCTGGAACCCATTGTGCAGTTTCTTCTTGAGCGGAAACCACATTAGCTGGTCGTTTTGTGCAAAACTATACAGATAGCGGTGGGCAAAGTCTGGGTCTGCGACTGCGCGTTGGCTCAAGACCGTGTGAAAAAAAGTCCGAGTGTGAAGCCTCTCAAGCTTGGTTGTGAAGGTCTCGAAGTTTCTCGTGGTAGCGGAGCTTGGCTTCTGCTACGCTCCAGCAAGCTTGTTTGTTGTTGTAGTTACCAAGTTTGGCATGGCGAGAAGACCACCAGCATCGACCACCGGTCCACAGCGTTGCTTTATGCTCGGCGAGGTCAAATTTGTGGACTTGCCACTTCTGCCGCCGATTGCTGTGGCCAACCCACTCTGTCATTTGTTCTTGGAAGAAGTGGAATCGAGACTCCAAAAAAAAGTTCATCTAAAATGTGTGCATGCAGCCAAGTCGCTCCAAAACAAGAGATTCGCAAATGAGCGGAAGGTTTAGTGCGAATAAAGTTTCAGTCGGAAAATTGTTTAAAACCCGGGTTGCACCTTGTCTCATTTGGCAGTGGCACTTAACAGACATGCGGAGCGTCGTTTGCAGAAGCCCAGCCGTGTTTAATTTTTTCGAAGGATGTAAAAGTTTTGAAAACAAATTTGAGAGGTTTTGAAAGGTTTGAAGGGAAGGTTTGAAAAGGTTTTAAAGAGTTGCAAGGTTTGAAGTTTGCAAAACTTTTTCGTCGACGGCGCTTGTTTTAGTGGCCTTCAAATTGCTCAAAATATGAACGTTGCAACCTTTGTCACGGCATAATCTGTTTCGATTCCTTTTTTTTGGAAGTTGGATTTGTTTTTCCACAGCGAAAACTTCCAACTACAACGTTCCGAAAAGCTTTGGACCCGCACGGCGTTCTGTGTTGTCTCCGTGTGTGCATCTTTCAGACCAATGCACATTGCTCCCAGTCGGAGCAGGCAATAACCACACTTTCCAAGTTTTTTTTCACACAATCCATGGCTGTTTTCATCACTAACGTGAAAAAAGACACTTTTGAACGCGCGTTACATGTATTTTGCAGCCTATCGCTTGACTGAGCCTTTAAGTTTTGCCAGAGTATCAAAGTTTTAGTTGGATGGCTTTGAGCACATGTTCCTCCCTGTCAGCCAGTCCGTCTATTGCTAGAAGTTTTTCTTGGAGACGAGCAGGTGTGTTTGGCGCTTGTGTTGCGACTTGGGTTTGGAGAAAACGCCGCCGACGTTAATGTTGCTGCATGCCAACGATCAAGCTTGCTTCTGCTGTTCGCAACATGTTGCCAGCGAATTTGAGAATCCTTTGCAAAAATGTAGATGTTTTTCTCCAACATAGTTGTCGTGTCTACAAGCTGGCTTCTCTCATCAGCAGCTATTTTCGTTTGTGCGAGCTTGCATCGCCAACAGTGAGTTCAAATCAGCCATGTCCAAGCAACCGAACATCGCCGGAGCGCGAGAACTGTTCCATAGGCCTTCACAGATGGAGCGCCATGTCGGAGGCGCAACTCAGGCATTGATCTGCTGTTCAGAGGTGAGCAGTGTTGCAGGAGGAAGACGCTGATGCAGATGTTGAGGCAGGCTTGAAGTTGCAGTTTATTCAGTCTCGATGCTGCACATTGTCTTTTGACGGAATGGTGTTGCCCACTTTCTCGTTTCTTTCAGGATGCCGTGTTCGTAGATTCCGTGGACCCGGGGCTTTCACCAGCTTCGCCGGGATCCTCCTCGCCAGATGGTCGTGGAGACACGGTGTGCCCGTGTCGAAACACAGTTCCGTCATGTGCGATTCTGCATGTTTTGCTTGCAGATACGCGTTTTTGTTCGTGTCCGTCCGTTGAATGGTCGTGAGGACCCATGCACAGATAGCTTGCGGGAAACAGACTTGTGTCTGCGGGTGGGGTTGTCGTGTGGCAAGATTCAACAAATTTTGATTTGTTGGTTTCACCAGGACTTTGCTCACATGCGGGACGGCATCTATGTGGATGCGGAATCTGGCACAGCTCAGCCCCTAGAGCAAAAGAAGCATGTTCGGCGCCTTGCGGGAAAAGCTCGTTTTGCATGCTTTGCTGCATGTTTCGAATCATCTCGTGGCATTCAGGCTCAAGAACAGGAGTATGCTAAATGCACTACGTCTAGCGCACTCCTTGCGGCTCCTGGTACTGCAGAGTGTTGCAGTGTTTCCTGCAGTTAGCCGTTAGCCTCAACAACACGGATCTTCCTGAGGTTGGCTTCGTTGATCTTGGCACCATGTGTGTCGCAGTTTTCCATAAGGACAGACGAATCGGGCAGCAGCCTAAGCGGCCACTGGTTCTCATTGATTTTCCCTATCATGCGCAAAGGCTGCTTGGAACGTTTGTTGATTGTTCGAACAAGGTGGCTTCTCGTCGGGAATATCTTTTCCGGATTGGCTTTATCAACTGGAGATTGAGGTTGGCAACGTGTTGGTTGCTGCAAAGGTATTGGTGCGTTGCGTACAGGTCCCAGACCCTGGAGCAAATCCCTTCAGCAATCCTTTGCAATTAAATGGTGGCAATTGCAGCCAGACGAGGACCAGCGGCGCATGTTGCAGCAGGGTGTCGTAGATCATTCACATCCGTGAAGTGGTGAGGATCAGCGATGTGAAGGTGCAGCACCCTTGTGGTGCTGCACGATTGCTTCAAGCCACATGCACGAAGGATCCAAACCTGCCTGTTGCAGGCAACTGATTTGACAAGCGCTATTTCCACAGCTTTGCGGCTACAGGCAGGAAGCCAGTAAGCAAGGCTTCCGCTATTTTATGGTATACGGTACGTTGTTGGATTGGCATCGTGCAGTGGCTCTGGACAGCTTGGTTTACACGTGAAGCGCATGAAAGAGCCGCAGGTCAAAGCCAGTCTGCACTGCATCATTTTAGCTAGCGGCGGCAGTCTTGCGACCAGCGCAGGACTCAGTCTTTCAGCAAGTTGCTTGAGTCACATCGAAGAACACGAAAGGAACATGCCTGTCGGACCTGAGCCACGTCTAGACCTAGAGTGCCGATGTGAAGTGTGAAGTGAACCTTCATTGCATTGGTCGGAGTGTATTTCAAAATCTTCCCGCAGTGTTACCTACCTCACGGCTGCCGCAATTAGTCACTGGTCCCGGATCCGCATCTGCGCATCATCCTAGACTTGTTCCTGTCTGGGCTCGACGGTTGACACCTGTATGCATGACAGCTCTGCCATGCGCTGGCTTCCCGTTAAGCAAATCCTCAGCCACCGGTGTTTTGGTTCACCGCAGTCTGTCAATATTTTGTGGATCTAACAGAACTGGGAGATGGGCGGCGGTGCTTAATATCACGAAGCATTTCAACAGTTGTTGACGTAGTGCAAGGCTTCTATCTGGAGAACGCCACTGCCGACCTAACGTTCGCGGCTTCCAGACGCATCTAGTTTGTGCGGTTCGGTGAGCTTCGACATGTTTTGGGAGTCCAGAGCAGTCATGCTACCATGATGGCAATAGTGTGACCAACGTGTGTCTTGCATCAGAGCCAGTGTGCACTTGTTAGTTTATTTGTTTAAACCATTTGGATGTCAAGCCTCGTATCGAGGTGCAGCCTGTCCAACCACCTGGTTCAACACTGGCCGTGCCTCTGGGTCAGCTGTCGAACAGAGCAGGGCAGCACTGCATGATGTAAAGGAAAAACAATGCACGTACACTCGTTGTGAAGTCTGGTTGCCAGGCCGGGTAAGGGTAACCCAATGCAAGGCTGCAGCGCTCGTCCTCAGATTTTCGACCGGGGTCATTCAGCAAGGACTTGTCTCCTAGTTGCCTGACGAGGTGGACATGAGTCGGCTGCGATTCAGTGGCTCATTCATGTTCGAGACTGCGTTGACTCAGCTTGAGCCTGCCTTGCAGCAGTTTGTGAACCAGGCCCGAGTCGTCTTACTGCGGCTGGGCTAGGATCATCGATGAGCTTGTGGCAAGGAGCTACCGAGTGTGGCGTGTGCGCAGATACCACCACTACTGGAAGCGCAGGTTGACCAAAGTCGTTTTCGACAAGTCGCATGCCTGTTGTTTATTTGCGAGAGCCGAGACGCAGAACTTGCGAAAGGCCACGGCAGCTTTGGCTTCTGTACTGACGCAGATGGAACCACTGCTAACAGGCAGGGTCGAATCTCTTCACAGTGATTCCTGCTGCACTTAGCTACAGCGTCGCTTGTACAGCCCTGAGTCTCTCCCTGCGCTGGCCACCTAGCAAGGGGCTAGTAGGTCATGAGAAGTTACCGCCGCCACCAACTCCTGTTGGCAGTCTGCTGCTCAGCTTTCACACTGGGTTCTTGTAGTGTTGTAGTAATTTCAGCAATCGCGTCCGTTGCTGAGATGTTGTTGACTGGGCCACTTATCCACCTGCTCGCCTCCTACGCTCGCTGATCAAGAGCAAACCAGGCTTCTGCAGCAAACATGAGAGAGAGGCGACTGTTCTCTTTTCCTTGCGGGCAGGTGTCGTGGCGGATCTAGTCAGGCGAGTGCCGGCGCAGAAGGCCTGGCTTCGGGCTCCAGGTGGCATGTCGTGGCACAGCTCTTTTTGCCCGAGGTGCCTCTGCACCAGCTGCACATCAATCGGAGCCTTACAGTCAATGCTTTGGGAACAACGTTTCGGAGCTACCTGCAGGAACCGTCGGCCCAGTCTGCCCTTCTAAAGCCAATGAGCTCACTAATGGATCGAGCTCACTAATGGATCCAGTAATGATACTACAATGATCGGACATTAAGTGGACAGACAATGTGTCGATTTATTTGTTAAAATGTGAGGCCTTGTGTTGCATTTCCACTGCCAGCACCTGTCAGGTTGGAGCAGAAGGAGCCCTTTAAACTCTAGGAAGACCCAACATAGGATCGAGTGTTGAGAATCCTCGTGATTGCTTCTGCGACTTGTCGGCTGACGTCTTTCCTCGGAATCTGAGCTCATCAGCCTCAGGATCAGCCTACAAGCTTTGCAAAACCTCAATGATGTTCCTTGGAACTGCGGAACAGGCATTACATTGCCAGTCCCCTTCATGTTGCGTTTCGTTCCTCTTGGCCAGGAGCTGACAGTGGCCGGCATGGCTCAGACCTCAGGTTGTCTCGATGTTTTGCCACTTCCTGCGTGCATGTGTAGTGCTCTTGGCCAGGATTCGCACGCAGAAGCTGCCGAGTGATTTCACGGAAGATAAATGAGAGTAGTTTTTGCAGACGAGTCCCTGAGGACAGCTTCGTCGAGGGCAGCTTGGACGTGCGTGGAGTTGGTCAGACTTTGACATGGACAGCTGCATTCAGCGACCTACGGATCAGTGCAAAAATCCAGGCTGTTCGAACCGGTTGCTGCATTGTTGGACGATCATGTTGCTCAGTTTCCAGGCACAGTTGGAATCGGTATCTCGGGACTCATTGAAACAAGCAGCTGTGCGGCATTGTGCGGCGTGCAAGGATTGTCACGTTGCAGGATGGGTTTCGAGGCTTAGGATAGCTCAGGCCGAACCCCTCCTGGAGCATTTCGAGATTTCAGTTGGTTTGGGAAATGTCAGCGCAGAGTCGGACATCCTCGCAATGGTCTCGCGAGAGGCGGGTCCGACCGCAGAGCTTCCAGTACACTGTCAGAAACCACGGGTGTCGAATAAGACGTGGTTTATCCCGCCTGAGGCCTTGGGAGCCTTAGAGGTGGATCAATTCCAGAAGTTGGAATGCCTGGTGGCGTGTGCACGTGGTGCAGCCGTTGGGCCCGAGGCACCTGTGGCCTTGCGCAGGTGCCATCGAGAATCTTCTGCTCTCTCTGAAGCTGGCGTTCTTGAGCTTGGGCAGGCTGAGAATCGACAACATGACGATACCAGTGGCTCGTCCCTTCCCTAGCAAAAGTCTCAGTGCTTTGCTGTGACATGAAACCGACGGCGCCTCAAGGCATGGTCGGTTCTCATTCACTTGGAGATGACCTCGCGGCGGCGATGACTGAAATGCTAGGGTGGGACCTGCTCGTCTCGTGCTGCGCATGACGTGAAGAGTCCGGAGCCAGGGCAACTCTGCATGGATACGCAGCGGCGATTCCGCACATCCTCCAGGCCAATGAACCTCAATGCTTCACCATGAAGGTTTACAAAGAGTCATCATACGCCTGTCGTGGTTCAGTTCGATTGTTCTTTTTGGCCTTGCAAGTCCTCGACGATCATCCTGCATGATGCTTTGAACGACATGGTGCAGCAAACGCTGGAGAATGTCCCGCCGTGCCAGAACACGGAGGTCTACTTCGGACCCGAAGGCCGCTTGAAAAGCCGCTTTTTGATCCGCTTGTGGCGAGCCTGAGCACCGTTTTTTTTGTTTGAGCCGCCTTTTTTGGCGCTTTTTTTGAAGCCTGGCTTAAGCGTCTCTGAAAGGCGTGGTGAACATCTCTCTTCTGCTCACTTCTTTGGTCTTGGCGGTGTCGCTCAGTTGCAGTTGCAAAATGGAGGCGCAGTTGCCGAAGGGAGGGTTTGTGCAAGTTGTGAGCATCTTACCTTAGGATTGGTGTGGTGGCTTGGGTACATGCCGAAAGAGGCGACCAAGGCAGGCCCTGCCAGGGTGCTCGTGGTGTGGGACGTGCAGAGTCAGGGCTTAGTGCTTGTTCAGGTCAGTTCTTCAACAAGTCGTCGTTGGCAGCTTGCCCAGCCATCCCCCGCGGTCTGTCCACGGGATATCCATTTTTTCTGGTCCTCGCCTCAACTTTGTTCGCTGCAAGATTCCGATTGTCAGAAAGTGTACGGGGTAGGTAGCCACCATGTTCCTTTTCCTCTTTTCGGACTTGGGACTCGGAACTGCCCCGTGGCTTGCAAGTTTCCTCTCGTGGAGTGGCACAGAGGAGCTTACATTTCCTGTCAGGTTATAAACGTGATCTTCCAAGCCGGGTCGGAGCGCATGAAGATTGGCCCAGCTTTTTCCTTTTCCGTTGCCCGGCGAAGTTTGCAGCGATTTACTAGCCAGCTCAGCCGAATGATCATGCAGGTCTTGACACTTTCCCGGGACAGCCTACGAGGAGGTGCCTCTTGCTTCGCGAGAATCAGAAGGATCGGCGAGACGCAAAGCAGCAGCACCCAACGGCCACGGCACATCCAAACGAGAGACGACAGGAGACATCGGGCTAAGAAGGGCAGTCATGGACAAGGGTCTCAAAGACAACGAATCCAAGACAGGTTAAGATAAGTTCTTAATCTAGGTGGTGGTTTCGGGGTTCTTAAAGTTTTTCTTGCATTTTTGTGGTTGTTCGTGGTTACAGCAATTAATGCATACAATGTCCCCATATGACATAGTAATTAATAAGTTCCAGGTTGGATGTGCCATGGGATAGTGTATACTCTGGTTTGCCGTAGCCCCGCAGTTAGTTTTGCTCAGGTAGGAGGAACCAAAGCACTGAACTGTGCTCTAGTTTGCCGTAGCCCCGCAGTTAGTTTTGTTCAGGTAGGAAGAACCCAAAGCACTCAATTAACTTAACACTAAATCCCTAAACCC